GAGAGAGACAGATATAAAAACATTCATCAGTGTTGTCTATAGTAGGAAATAGGTGAGATATCTTAAATGCAGATTAGTTAAATAATTGTACATGTTGTAGAAAACTGCAGCTATGAAAAAATGTTATGCTTATTAAGAATTTTAACATCAAAAATGTTTATAATAAATATGATGCTTATTACAGTAAATATATATATACATAAACACAGAAAATAATATCCAAACTTTTATATTAAATACATGTATTCCTTTTGTACTTTGAAAAATGATGAAGACCCAGGACATTGAAAAATTACATTCTAAACATTTTTTTGAACTGTCAGGTGCAGAGCAGGCCAAAAACTCAGCAGATTAAAGCACCTGCCTAGGCAGACGCAGTGGTGAGGGTTTGAGTCCCAGCCTGCCATGCCAGCCCTGCCCATGGAGTGTGCTGAGACATAGATTGAGGCTGGGTGTGGTGGTGCGCACCTATAATCCCAGCGCTTGGGAGGCTAAACACAGGAGAATCACTACAAGTGTAATCTACTTAGTGAGACCCTGTAGTCCCTGTACTAAAATAAGAAGAAAAAAAAAAAAATCAGATTCTATTCCTACTCCTTTTGTTGCTTGCTTTTACTTTGCTTTTGTTTTCCACCCCTTCTTTCTTGTTCAGGCCCCAGTTAAGCTCAAAATCAGGGCCTCCCATTTTTGCTACCAACAGCTCTACCCTTTGCCGCACCAGTTTCCTTGCTGCCTTTCGTTGAGATCCTCAGTCTTTGAAAACTGCCTTTGGTGCAGCCCCACATATAGTCCAGACAGGGTAACGGGTGAGGAAAAAGTGAGGATGGGGCACTGAGCAGGGTGAGAACAGCAGGAGCAAAAGGCGCTGCAGACCATGTTTCCTTCTATATTGCCCGGCCTGGCCCCATCAGGTTCACACACTTCCGGCCCTCACCTCTGCTGCTGGGTGTTCTGGTGAGGACTCTGTGGCCTCACTCTTGCTCACCTGTGGGGAGTCTTCACTGAACAGCAGAGAGATGCGGGCCTCTTGGCTGCTACCCTACCCTCACACTCTCTAACACCTTCTCTGTTGGCAGGTCCAATGCAAGAGACAGTAAAGGACTTTTGGAGAATGATCTGGCAGGAGAACTCAGCCAGCATCGTCATGGTCACAAACCTCGTGGAAGTAGGCAGGGTAAGCCTCTCCTGTTGTCCCTTGGTAGACAGTGCCAGAGGTATGCTACAGCTACTCTGTACCCTGCACTGTGCTCAGTGCTCCTGTTCCACACGGGGACCTCCAGAAGCCTCGGGGAAGATAGCATCCCTCCTGTTTCACATTCGAGCAATTTCCTTTCCTTCAAGTCCTACATCCTTTCTTCCTTCACTCTCTGTCGATAACGTCATTTCATATATTTTGAGGAAATTAAAGCCATCAGATGTGAATGCTCTCATTCTTACATCCAAAAGCTCCAATCCTTCTTGTACCCACAATCATCTTCTTGTTCTTTCCCTCTTTTGTTGGGCTCAACCATAAGAACTGGCTGTTTTTGTTGACCCCAAATGGTTGAATAGCAGCTGTTTCCTATGGCTTTGCTCAGTACCACAGAAGCCAAGACTCTGCCCTTTCAGAGACCAGCCTAGTGCCTTAAGCCTAATTCTGATCAATAATTTTCTCATCTCCTCCATCTCACTTGAAAACTAAGTCTCTTTTTCATTGCTAGATTTTCCCCC